TCTATATATGTCTGTGTGTGTGTATGTGTGTGTGTGTGTGTGTGTGTCAGAGTTTCAGAGGGTTTACAACTGCCTGGACATCCAGATCATCGAGAGAGGAGAGTCTTACTACCAGGACATGATGACGAATGTTGTGAAGGAGTTGGAGGAGAAAGGTCAGGGCACTGATGTTTTCACTCTGTCAACGTTTTTGTCAGGACATTTTATTTCCCAAGATATCACTCATTGTTGATCCACCGTAAGATAAAAACTCTGTATCTCAAGTCCCTGTTTCCTTGGTACAATGTTCAAGTTGTGCCTGTTTGTACTTGGGTTATTAAAGGCTTTGTTGAAGCCTTCTTGTACCAGTAACACTGAAGACATTCTCAACATTCAATTTGGTTTTGGTCATTTTGGAATTGTAGCTCTGTTTCCTTGGTTGTGGACCCACCAGAGGGCATATTGTCTCAGAGAATGATCTCATCCTTTCCTTCTGCCTCTTTATTTTGTCTAATTTCTTTCTTTTTACCCTCAATTCCTTCTTTTTTTGCACTTTCTTTATTCTCCATTCTACTCATTATCTCCTCTTTTTCTTTTTTCCCTGCAATCATACCCATATTATTACTCTTTTTCTCTTAAAACCATCATTTTCCACCCCACTCGCTCCCCTCTTTCCACTGTGTACCCTCCTCACTCATCCACCCATCTTTCCTTTTTTTTTTGTTTCTTTCTCTGTCTCCTCAGGCTTTGTGCAGTTGGACGAGGGTCGAAAGATCGTCTTCGCCCCGGGTCAGTCCATCCCCCTCACTATCGTCAAATCTGACGGCGGCTACACCTACGACACATCGGACCTCGCAGCGCTGCACCAGCGAATCTTCACGGAGAAAGCAGACATCATCATCTACGTTACAGACAGTGGACAGGTGGGTGAGGAGCGAGGATAGGGAATGTTGGATGGGGGAGTTTACAAAGACAGGAGCTGGACAAAAAAAAATAAAACAAAAAAAATCTAAAATATGTAATATGGAGCAGAGGGACCAGTTTCAGTCCTGTTAGTCCTGAACTATAATTTTTACGTTTCTTCACTACTTCAAAAGCAGAACTTTTGACCGTGGTGGTACGGCATTGGGGACAAACTGTTGTGTAACACTCTAGCCTCTCAGTGTTGTCGGAATAACATTACCTTTGATGTAGTGAGAGTATAGACGAAGCATCGCCTGGTGTCCTGCAGACACAAAACCCGCCCCAGTGTAGATAATAATGTGACATAGTTAGAACTCATCACTGAAATAATCTCTCTGAAAATTATCATTTGGTGCCTCCTACACAAGTTGGAGGCACAGTCATCGTCTGTGTCACAGACAGCAAGTTGGGATTTGAAATGTTGGTTATGAAGACAGACGTCATCATTCTCAGCAGAAGCAACCAAAAGAGCTGGAAGGAAGAGAGGGAGGGGCTCAGCGTCTGCAGTCTTACTCAAACTAAAGCTGAGGAAACTTAATTTATCAGGAGCACTAAATACAAGCTGATTGTGAGTAACGTTACCAAGGTGACAGTATTTTAAATGTGTTGCAAAAGGACAGAAAAAGGATGAATGACGCACAGGTTGTATCCTGTGTCTCTGCCGTTCAAGTTTTAACTCGTATAACAGATGAGAGTAATAATATCTCAACATCTACTGTAAGGAGTCTGAGAACATTCCGTACAAACATTGACGGTCTCCTAGAGGATGAATCCTACTGACTCTTGTGATCCTGATACAGACTCTAGCACCATCATGAAGTTGACATTTAAGATCTTGAGTGAAATCACTCGACAACTATTGGATGGATATCCATGAAATTTGGTTCAGACGTTCCTGTCCCCCTCACCATCAATTTAAATAACTTTGGCTTGTCATCTAGTGCCATCATCAGGTCAACATTGTAATTTATCCAATAATTAATGACCAAATACCTGCTAAACTAATGACATTACCATTAGCTGTACTTAGTGTTCAACTCTGTTGTCATTATACAGTGCAGAATTGCACAGTTGTATCCCCCTTCATGCTACACACACAGGCGATGTATATAAACCAATATTCAAATATTTTAAATTAGAATTTAATGGAAACAATAAATGGCCAATAGAATAGAACAAAGTCCACACACATACTGTATATACATACACAAATACATGCTAAGCTAAGGTGGTGAACATGGTAAACGTTATACAGGATAATAATCAGGATGTTGGCATTGTAAGCCTGCTAACGTAAGCATTTAGCCCAGAGCACTGCTGTGTGTGCGTACAACCACACAGAGCCGCTAGCGTGGCTGGAGAGTAGTGTCCTAAAAAATGCCGCATCAGACTACAACGTCTCAAAAATGGACACAGACATGTTCAGCTGACTTGCACCCAGTCCCATTTATGCTTTGTTTCTACGTGTGCATGTGGAAAGAATAACATGACATTTATGCTATATGCCACTGAATTTGTGTGTGCGTTTTCTCTTTTAGGCCACACACTTCCAGGTGGTGTTCGCTGCGGCTCAGATGATCGGCTGGTACAACCCCCAGGTGACCCGCGTGGAGCATGCAGGCTTTGGAGTGGTGCTGGGGGAAGACAAGTGAGTTTAAATTGTAACGGAGGATTTTATGGTCTGGATTTGTAAATGAAAACCTGGTTCTAACCAAAAAACATACGCCCACCAACCCCTCCTAAGCTCATGTTAACACGTTGTATCTCATTTGTTTAATCCGCACGAAACCTAAAGTGTAAAGACAACACGTTGGGTTTTACAGGGAGTTACATGCTGGAACAGTTCCTTGGAAAGCTTTGGACAGAGCCAGGCTAGCTACTTCCAGTCTTTATGTTAAGCTAAGCTAATTGTCTACTAGCTATACTTCCTAGGATTGGTAATTTGATATTAAGTTTAAGATCAGGACATGCCACCTTGTAGCTCTAACATTGTACTAATTGAACAAGTACTAGTGTTCATCTTCTCTCAGCAAATAAATGAATTTCTCCCAATCGTCCCAAAATTCAGTCTGCATGATGGAATTTAAAGGACATAACACACAGGCTTTTACATGAATCCACAGATCAGTCAGTTAAGACTGGTGGATGTTACAGGGTTAAATATGGAGGCTCTGTGGCTGTAAAGCGCCCGACTGACAGTGTCGACACTGAGAGCGGTAAAGGACTGACAGTGTTGTAGCTGCGTACAGACTAATAACAGCTTAACATGAGCCCAAAATCGCTGTCATCAGAGCGCCAACAAAGACAAGCAGCTCCTCCGAAGACCGAGATTTCTCCCCCACCTCACTGTAATCATCTGAATGTCCTTGCCCTGTATCTTTACCACCACTGCTTCATGTTTTTATGACATTTACTATCAAGCATAAAAACAGAACTTTACTACAGGACTGCATTGACAAATAAAAAGGAAAATCTACAGCTGCAGCTCCACAAACCGTACAGTCGTCGTTTGAACTCCAGGAATGCTAAGCTGTTATTACTCAGCATGTGAGGAGCTGGAGGGAACAGAAAAGTCCTGCAGTAGGTGGACAATGGTAATTAAAAGTTGCACAACAACAACATCAGATCAAGTTTGAGAAAACACAGAATGAACGTTTTCCTAAGATCACTTTCTGATACAGACTGTGGCTTCCCTCTTCCTTATTCTCCTCTTCCTCCTCTGTCTTCTACTCCTGCATCTTCTTGTCCCTCCTTATCTTCTTCTCCTCCTTGTCATTCCTCTCCTCTATTTCTTCCGTCTTCCATTTTCAGTCTTGATCTTGTTCTCCTCCTTCCCAACTTCTTTCCTCTCCTTCTTCACTTAAGTCCCGGTCTTTGTTTTCGTCCCAGTCAGTTCATTTGTTCTTACAGTGTGTAAGACATATCTTCCCCTGTGTATTATTTATTTCCTTTAATAGTAAGCGGTGATTACTCCGTGGCTGATAGGTGAGTGGGCTCTATAATTTGAGCACTATCTGTCTCGCTGTTGTTTTGTCCCTAATCAATCGTCCAGAGAAGAAGCCAAGCCCAGGCAGAGGTTGACGTTACGCTTCGCAGATGCCATAACGAAGTGCTGCTAAACGTCCCACAGTAACCTGAGGGGGCGTAAATTGGCCCCACAATGTCTGCGCTACTCCAAACTCCATTAGAAATTTATCATGCTGTTTTCATAATCGCTCATCCAGACAATAAGGGCTTAACACAGCCACGGGGGGAGCTGTTATAGCTCCAAGTAAACAGAGAAGAAAGGAGGGGGGTTATTAAATTTTTGGCTAATCTTCTGCTTGTAATGCTCATCTGATTTGCTTGATTGTACAAAATGTATCGCCTCGAGGCGTCGGCAAGCGGAAGTAATCTAATAGTTTGTTGTCATGATAATTATTGTCGGCAGAAAGTCTAACCTCAGTACCTGCTGGAAAGTTCTGTTTGGGGATGTTGAGACGCCCAACTTCATGCGCAGTCTCATAAACTTTCCTTTTGTTTGCCAGATTGTATGTTTTGGGGATTTATGTACTTTTTCTTCACTAAAGAGTCTCACCTAACCTTTTGCTTCTTGCGTTTCTTGCTCAGGAAGAAGTTTAAAACCCGCTCTGGAGACACAGTGAGGCTGATGGACCTGCTGGATGAGGGACTGAAGCGATCCATGGACAAATTGAAAGAGAAGGAGAGAGACAAGGTGAGAAAAGTTTTCATTTCCTTAAAAAACAAAGGCTGCTGACAAAGGAAATTAAGGTAGAGAAAAAAACATATGTCTCCTTTCTCTCTTACCTACGCAGGAGCTTTTAGTTAACATCATAAAAAAGTTGCCCTCCGCTGTAGGACACATTTGCTGTCTCATAAACTAAAAACAAGGTGAATGAGTACACAGTAGAGTGGGTTCAAAGCGAAGTCGAGACGAGACGTTGGAGAAATTACTATTAAAGAGTCAGTTCATTTTCTCTAGCCATGCAGACAGTTTTTTGTTTTATTTGCCCAGGCTTTAAGATATTAATGTCTGAGATTTCTGCCTCCACTCCAATACAATGGAAGGGAATTTAATTTGTGATGCTCACAGAATTTCATCTTTATAGAATCAACTTTTCTTTCCAGAAACTGTGTGTTCTTTTTACTGTGGATAATACACAATGGAACTATTTTCTGACGGAGAAATAGCCAGAGTAACAGCAGCAATTGAGCATGAAAGTTAAGTCTTGACCCTGGGACTGGAAGTTTGACAAATTAATCATAACTCAGGGTCCGCTGCGCCAATGAAATTCCATTTACCTGCACTGTATTGACAAAGAAAACCAAATGTATCTGGATGGCTGCTGATTTGGTGAACTGACTCATTCGCAAGGGGTCAGACAGCAACAGTAAAGTTATTTTAGTTAAGGTTAAAGAATTCAGTGTATTAAAAGACCACTGTGTAGGATTTAGTGGCGCAGGTTACAGATTAATACGGAGAAACTACAGTGGCCACGGAACTCCAGAAAAATGAAAAAGCCCTGTCTAGAGCCAGTGTTTGGTTTGTCCATTCGGTTTTATTTCCTCCTCCCGAAATCCATTGTAGAGTTATTTTTAATTTTTTAAATGTTTAGTAAAAAATCTGTAGAGCAGGGAACCAACAACATCAGTCTCTCCTATTAAAACCACTGTCGGTCAGATCTGTCGGTGCAGCACACAGTGGATGAATCCTTCTGACTTTGGTAATCCTCTGACTTTTACTCATGCACCGCCAACTGGATGAACAGAAAAGAAAAGAAAAGAAAGAAGGTTCTGCAGAGACATTATTTTTCAGCACACACAGTCGGTGTAGTGCTAGTCAATATAAAGTTCTGTTTTTACTTTTGAGACTTTCTGAACAGCACACTGACACAGAGAAGATTTGAAATTGGGGGAAAATGTGTTCATTTTGGAAAAAAGGAAAAGGTTGGAGGTCAAATCAAAGAAGACAAACATGTCTGCAGCACTTCAGGAGTTGGGTTGTTTTTTATTTCATTTGTAAATGCGTTTATGTCTGTGGTGAATATTTAATCGCCATGAAAGCGTTTTATTTCTAACAGTCGTACTGCTGTTTCATATTTAATTATCTGCAGGAAGTCTGCTTCATTTGCTCTAATTTCTCCTCAGAATAATTGCTTAAATTTTCTGGCAGAAACCTTCCTTCGTTGCAGTCTGCTGTGATCATTGTTTTTGGCAGAATATTTCACATTATTTTAGCTTGTATTAGAATCATTTTATATCAATATTTCGTGTCAAATGTTGAATCTTTGATAAGCAAGAGGGAGACGGTCTGGTGAGCGGCTCATTATTTCCGTGCCCAGGCTTTCGATTCACACTGAATGACGAGGCTTATTTTACAGTAATGACCGTCTCACTCTACAGTAGCCATTAATCCTTCTCGCTCTCATCCTGCACGAAACTGAGCCAAATCCTGGATCTTTCTGATCACATTCAGAGATGACCGCGACTGAAATATGAAACAGCGACACCAGAAATCTTCTCATCTGCTGAGCTGTGAGGACGGCCCGACGGCGTGCAGTCTCTCCTGAACACACACTCGCTTTGATTCTCCTTCTTCCTCCCCTCCATCTTTTCATCATGTTCCACTTTTCTTGCTCTATCTTGTGTGAGCTGGAACCTCCTCACGTCTGCAGCCGCACTGATGCTTTTTCTGACTTTTTTTTGTTTTCGATTGCTGAAAACACGTCAGTTTCTCTCAGGTTTGTGTTTTTAGTTCAAGAGAAAAACTCAGCTGTTAAGAAATGGATTAAAGTTGTCAGTGATCATCACCTGATAATTGAATTATACCATATATAATAACACTTCATCAGTTGTTGAGGAAGTATTCAAATCCTTTACTTAAGTATTCATTCAGCAAAATATACTTACTTACTAAATTAATATGTAAGTTTCTACATTAAAATATCTAAAAATGCTGGACCTATGCTATATATTTTGTTGAGTTGTGTACGGTCTAACAGTGTTCAAACCCAGAGAAATCTATAATTTTATAATGCATATAAATTTTAATACAGTTTTTAGCCAGATTTTTTATGATATACCTTTTAGATCTTGGTCGTTTCTGACTATATATTTCAACCAGATGAAAGATTTTAGTTATCGGATGTCTGGATCTTAAATTATCAGAGAAACAAGCTGAGCTTAGCAGCCCCCCTGGAATGTCTGCAGAGCAGCGTCAGAGGAACACTGATTTTTAACTTGAAACTGCTTTATTCAGCGTTTTTTAATGGGTTTAAATACCGGGTTCGTTTGTTTTGGAGAGGAGGAGAACTCTGCTAATTTGACTCCTGGTAAAAACTTCTGGAAACATCTAGATCTTAAGATATCAGTGAAACAAGCTGAGCTAACGTTATGCTATGGCTGTCTCCTTAACATTGTAACTACACATCAGGGACATGTATCTACCCTGTAGGGACCATAGGAGCTGTGATTGTTCAGTTTGGGAAAATTCCAACTTAACAACCATAAATATTTGCAGACTTATCGATAGGATGGATGATGTATAACGTTACTTAAAAATCAACACGCTACAAACTCTCTTCTTCTCTCCTGTAACTGCCTCTCTGGTGTCCTGGGCCTCACTTCAGTCGCGGCTGTGGTCACTGGGAGGCTGCTGAGCTCTGTAGCCTGCTCATTCCGGCGCCGCTCCTATGCTACCTCCCCTGGTACTTTAAGCTCGTAGTCTGGGTACAGTTTTTGCGACTGACTATTGAAAAGGGCATCGACCAATAGTTTAGTCGACTATTAGGGAACAGCCCTAGAAACAACTGCCAAAACTTTGCCGACCCCAGAGCCTATGGCTAAAAAATAGTTTCCATACATGCATTAAAATGCTCCAAGAATCAAAGTTTTTACTTCCTTAAATTGAGAGTTTTGTTGCCAAGGCATTTCAGCTGAAATTCCTGTGACCCTAATGTCATTTGTTCTCCCTGACATATAGCTTAGGAAATTATTAGTCACAAACTTTTAACAGTGTCGAGATTTCACCACAATCACTTCCTCTGAACTTTCCCTAAACCAGGGAAAGCTTGATGAGTGTGCACCCTGACTCACTCTCACAAATTAAACAAACTAAGCTGCTGCGACCCCCCTGCTACAACACAGTTCTTCATCACGTGCTCCTGTGCAGCTCAATAAGACCTTGTTAAAAGAAGTATATGTTGGTTTTTTTAGGAATTTGTAATGTTTTTTTTCACCTCCTGACCTCATATTGTTCCCGGTAGTCTTTGAATTCAACCCAGAAAGCATCCGTTGACAATCCTTTTCCTTCATCCCAAGACAATTGTTAGCTGTGGTTTTCCGTTTACTTCACACAGCAAACCCCGACTCCTGTTCATTTGAGCAGATGTGTTCGCAACTTCTGATGTTGCAGCTCCTGTTGTTGAGGTGTTTGTATCTGAAATTAAACTTGCAGAGGGGTAAAAAAAAAAAAAAGAGTAAGAAACAACAGAACCTGACCTGGTTAAGTATTATCTGGAGCATTTGGTGCAGTGTAAACAGTCAGTGACTTCCAGTTGAACTGCAATGATTTTAATGCTGAGAAGGTTGTGGGAAACCGGTGCCAACACAGTTTCCCTGCAGGCCCTTCTGGCCTGGCACTCTGCTCTCAGTCTGGGTCGGTGCCCACGTCTACCATCTGCTAACCCTGCCTCATTAAAACAAACCCCGACCCTGGCCTCCGTGAACCTCCGTCTGCACCGCTGCTGCTAAGATTTCTTTTCTCCAGTTGTGTTGTATTATACTCCGTTATGTTCCTCTGTCTTTTATTATTTACTCCTGTCCTATATTTTTTTTTTTTCGTGGTCTACTTTTGTATCCTGTTATGTTCTGTCCTTTCCTGTCTCCTTCTGTTATTCCCTGTCCTGTTGTGTCACACTGTACCCTAACCCATTAGGTCCTGTCCTTGTATGTCAGTTATGATCTGCCCTGTCCTGCTCAGGGCTCGTCATAGGGGGTTTAACTAGAGCTGCAACAATTTGTTATTTAGCACGCAACATTGTCACACAGTCTCTGGTTCCAGCTTCTCATATGTCAGGATTTGCAGCTTCATATGTGATGCTAAATTTAATAATTGGGCGTTTGTGACTGTTTGTTAAAAGCCCTCAGCAAGCTCTCTGTGAACACAATGTAGTTTTTTTGCAATCGAGAAGAAATGATTGCCAGCTTGATCAATAATGAAAATAATTAGTTTTATTCCTAGCTTTAACCCACCATTATTTTCAGCATTGATTATCGATTACACTTGACAGTTCTGTGGTAACAAAAGAAAAACAAAAGTTATTGCAAATCTTAATTAAATTTAATTGAAACAACAGTCAAGAACATGAACTGTATCATGAATATGTTTGTTCATTCATTTGGATGCTTCTCATTAGTTTCTGTTGTGCATATGAAAAATGAAATTAGTTGCCCAGTTTTTACACATTGAAAACATGAGCCTCTCCCCCTGTACTGACGGTGAACTGCAGAGCAGGACAGGTTTCTTCATATTTTGGATTTGACTGATGTGACTGATGGATGAGCATCAGCAGTTTTTACTTTCTTCCCTGTCAAAAATCTGTCCGTCTGACTTAACTTGTTTTGTTGCCTGAATAAATCTTGCTAACCTGAATATGTATTGCCCTGCTAGCATCGGAGCCGTCTTGTTTGTTTCCAAAAGAAAAACATTTAAACTTTTTTGCTCCACTTTCTCTAGTCATATGTGCCCATCCCTGCATTGGCTCTACACCCCCAGTGTGGAAACCACTTGATTAATCTGTAAATTATTTTTCAATTAATCATTTAGTCTATAAAAATGTCAGGAAATAGTGAGAATTGCCCAAAGTGACATCTTCATAATGCCTGTTTGCCCAAATAACAGTCTATAACCCAAAGATGTTGATTTACAGTGACAGAAACCAGAAACCGAATGACTGGCTTGATAAATAAACTGTCCTTGACTATTCTGTCCTTTCTTGTCCTCTTTATTACACATATTTTATATAACGTATCATGTCACGACCTAGCCCTTTATTTCCCGTCATGCCGGGCTCTGTTTTGTCATTCTTTATCCTGTCATTTACTGTCATGTCATTTCCTCGGTCTGTTGTGCTCTGCTTGACTGGATTTTTTTTGTTTTCCAGTCGAGTCACTGTCATAAAATGTTCTGCATAATCTTCTTCCTCACTGTTCACTCCCCGTGGTATCAGACACATCACATGCATATTCAAGGAAAGGCTATGACTTAATAAGTCAATTTAATCTCAGCCCGAGGTTAGCGAATTCATTATTTGGATTAAATTCAACTCACTGGTTTTACTGTGAGAAGCATAAGGTGAAGTACTACCTGCAGTAATTACAAGCTGATAAAAGCTGCAGTTATCAGAATATTTAATGCTCAAAAGTGTGGGGAGGTAAAATGATTGGATTGGAAAGATTGTCAACTTCATACCTGTGTTCTTTCATATGTCTGCTTTATTAAATGAAACTGTAAACCTCTTTGTGCAGGTCCTGACCCCGGAGGAGCTGAGCAAAGCCCAGAGGTCTGTGGCTTTCGGCTGCATCAAATACGCCGACCTCTCACACAACCGCATCAACGACTATGTCTTCTCGTTTGACAAGATGCTGGATGACCGGGGTAACACAGCGGCGTACCTCCTCTACGCTTTCACCCGCATCAGGTGAGGATTCACTGTGATGTTCACACTTTGACTCAAGTTTCTGCTTCTGCGCTACTGCAAATGTTCAATACCGAACTTCTTAAAAGTTCCGATTTTGGTTCAACTCCTCTTCGTAACGCCAATTTCATTTGGTAAGAGGAAATCAACAGCAGACACAAGATCTTCCAGCAAATACTTTGATTAAATGTAATAAAAGCAGAGTTAATTCTGCAGGAACAAAAACAGAACATTCAGTAGAACAGCTCTTTTTTATACAGCCCTAATACGTCATCAATCATTAATCTTCTACACTTATCACGCCACCATCAGAAGATGTAATCTCCAGTTTTCTGGAACATGAGAGGACGCTCTAACTGTTTCACTGTTTACCAACAGTCACAGCGTTCTTGTACATGTGGATGCCACAGTGCCCTTGTCAGCAGTTGTTGTGCGACACTGTTTGTGCAAAAGGAACACAGAACAGGAACCATTTTAAACAGACCCTATCATAACCTATAAAAGTCAGAATATATGCATAAAACATACCACAGGAGCTGACTTGTTGGATAATCGCTTTTAGCCATGCTAACAGTGTCGCTCCATGACAGACTGTGGGCTACTTATGGGTCCAACACTTTAGAAGTACAGTAAATAAACTTTTTATGTAGCGCCACCAATGCATCAAAATTTGTAGCGCCGATTACAGGATACCTCTGAAACTAATGCTGTACTTTGAGACTGATGCTAACATATTTAAGAATTTAGCATGGAACATGCTAAAGTTAAGCATGTTGCGCTGTTAATTGTATGTATAGGACATGCTCAATATTCCATGTTAATTTTTTTTACAGTAAATGCATATGAACAAGCTAAGTGGCTAAAATGTTAATGCCTCCATAATATATTAAATAGGCCTTCCTAAAGATTAGCATGCTAATCTAACACATTGTCACTGTGGTAACAAGCGTAAAAACAACATAACATCAACATGTTAACATCCAATAGTTAATTTTTGCATTTTATGACATAATGTGCTTTCAGTGTGTTAGACACTATTGGTTGGACATAGCCATTAACTTTATGGTGGCGTGATACTGCTTGCATAAAAAATGATGCGCCGTTATCTCCATATTCATCCTCCGCTGGAAGACATTCATCGTGATTCAAAGATGGTTGTTCCAACAGTGAGAGAAAGAGAGTGCTAGAGAAAGCTGCACACAGCGGACTCATCAGTGAGTGTGAATGTCGGAGCGTTGGTTTTGGAAAGTTACAGAAATACACAGACTCCTTTATAGATATTGGAAAGGTGTAGCGGGAAGGGGCTTCGGAAGCCATTCGACCATCCAACTTACACTTCTGAGTATACTGGCGCCTTAAATACAGTCGAGGCTAATGAGCTAAGAGATTACCAACCCCAGTAATGATAAAAATGTAAGAACAGCAAGGACACGACTCAGCTCTGCATCAAACAGTGAATAATAAGTTCACAAACGGTGACACAGAAGAAAATGACTGTCCAGTAACCTATTAATCAAGGAACGTGAGATGCTCGACACTGTACAGTATTATGAATCACTCGATCAGTTTCAAACACCAGCTGGTCTCCGTGGGACGCTCAAAGTATCTTGAAAGTTAAATTGAGTTCCTCAGATACATTTCTCCTGTTAGACCCTCTCACCAGTACCAGTATACTTTCATTACCCATATCAGATCAGCCTCGCTGGCCCTTGTGGGTGCTTGTGGCAAGGGATTAGTCTTCTGGGTATTTCCAGTCAGCGAGACCCAATTTCTCCTCACCCCTTATCCCCTGTATCGAGTGTCCGTCTCCTGACTGCAAAGTGCTGCGTTGATCTCCTTCCTCTCCAGCTTCCCTGGAGGTGTTAGACTCGGGGTGGCAGAGTGCCCACCAAAGATTGATCTTCTCTTTTTTTTTTTTTTTTTTGCGAGAGGGGGGTTTGAGCAGTCTCGCCTGAGAGGATTCGATGTTCCTGCATTCAGTCAATAGAGAGCTCACTGGTGGGTGTTCAAGTGTCAGAAAAGACAAAAAAGAGACAGACACACAGACGGACCTCTGCTGTTCAACTTGGAGCTACCTAATAGAAAAAATGAAAAACAGAACAGCCACTTGTAGCTCAGAGGCTGAAAGTAATGATTTCAGTTATCGATAATCTGATGATTATTCTTCCGATTAAATGTTTGGGAAATAGTGAAAAATAACTACGTATGTAAGCTCTTTGTGTAATTTGGTGTCCTAAAAGTTGTTTAATGAATTGAGTTCAAAAGCAGTTTTTGATTTCTTTCATTAGGACCAGTGTGTAGGATTTA